TTAGCAAAGATGTAAGAACTTTCTAACATATGATAGACCTGAAAATAAATTCCAAAAATCATACAGGCTAAAGATCGGCTAAAGAATGGCTTATTTAATTATTCCGGTGTATTTTCGCTTGAAGTATGCCTATCACATTATATTCCTAAAACCAACAATCGCGCACAAATTATCATATCAAGGTGGCGCTCGTTACAACCTATAGTACAAAACCAATGATTTTGTTGCTAAAATCCAGTTCATGCTGAATATGGGGTATATGAATGATATCCAAAATAGTGGAATTTTAAATTTCCTATCCAACGAGAACATGACAAATATTTCTATAATCATCAGCAATCTATTCACTCTGTACCGAGGCATGGATTCTTGTGAGGATATTTCCTGTTTATATTGTGGCCTATCTATTATCTCGATGTAAGATCAATGGCATACAATTTTGAAATACATCAAAAGTTTAAAGTTCAAAACGTCTACTTTTTGAACCACGGTTTTCTTGACCTTAAAATCGTAAATGTCATTCCAAATGGGAAAATAGTCGGATGAGAATAGCTAATAACATGCTACTATGAAGACAACGTAGGCTAACTTTGAAAAAAAAAATTCAAGTATAGAGGTCTACCTGTTTGACTTGTAATGTCAGAATTGCTATCAAAACAATCAAAAAACCAAACAACTTGTTGCATTGATTTTAAATAAAAAATTGAAAACCACAAAAACTGAAAATGTCAAAATTTCTTTTCAAAACTATATTCTATATATTTCTAAAGGTTTATTTCGCTACAAAAACTGTAGATTTTGTCGATGCAAATATTGCAATAAGCATTTTGAAAATACCCGAATTTGTATATTTACTGACAACAATTTTTTGAAAGTTTCAACATTCGAAAAAAAACATTCAGATTTAGAAGATTCATGGCTGGTTCTTCGTTACTACACGAGTTTTCAAGAGTTTTAAATATAAGAGAGCGGGGGCTTGATTCTTATTCAATGAAAACATGAAATAAAAAGAAACGTTTCCTTTCACATTCAAGTAGAGGAGGAATTGGGGTCCTGACCTATTTTGAGGTGACATTCGCAGTTGGGTTTGTACCCTTCACCATAATAAATTGTTGTCATGCATTTAATTATTAACCAAATAAATCAAAATAGATATTTTGTCATGTCTGTGTAAACGTAGCTAAACAGAAGATCATTATCAGCCTTTTCCACGATATCGAAAGAAAATTTGTGCGAACGAAAGCCAGTCACTCACTTTCGTATCAGAAAGCGTTCCACTAACATACGTTCGCATAGTCTTACGTGACTTAGTATTGCTAAATATACTTTTGAAAAAAATAATCGCGAAATTAAACAAAAAAGCGCCAAAATAAGAGATTTAAATGCGAAAAGGCTATAAAAAATACAACCAAACGTAAGCTGACTCTGCCTGAACTGATAATTCAGCTGTAAACAAACAAATTGCAAATAAACAAACAAAATAATATTCCGAGTTTCCCAAAGATTATGCTCAAGTTTTTTGCGTTTAAAAAAATAATATTTCTATTGCCCTATATTTTATGAATAATGTGAAGGAGCCTGATGCTTCCAAATATTGGGACTCCTTTGGCGAATTCAGGACAAAAATTATATTTGTTATTGACAATAATAATTGTCCTTATTAGTTTTACTTACCTTTTTGTTTTCATTTTCAAGCATAGCAATATTTATGTTGAAAAAATTCTCCTAAATTATAATTAGACGACAGCAATCACACAAGTGACTGATTTTGACATTTATGTTCGCATGCGTGCGAAAGAAAAAAATAGAGGAACGCAAAATTACACTGAAATGCTTACGTTTTCGTTCGTTTTAATGTTCGCAAAATTTTTCGTTCTGATGGATTTTAGTGGAACGGAAATCAGCTGTTTGTCATGTAAAAGGCATGCGAATTTAGGTGATGCATCAACGCTTGGGAATATGTAAAAAATTCTAGAATGTTTTTTATACCCTACACCACAAGGTGGTCAGGGTATTATGTCTTGCATGTCTTCTTGATGATCTGCATAGAATCGCTTTCTGAGTTGATTTATGCATGTCAGTCCGTCTGTCCATGTATTCTTGTGAACAAAATGCAGGTCGCATTTATTATCCGATTGAGATGAAATTTTGCAAACAACATTTGTTTGGCCCAAGGACGAACCCTATTGAAATTGGAGATAATCGGTAAAAATTTAGATATAGCTCCAATATATATCTTCGTCCGATTTGCCTTTTATTGTGCACCAAACGTGTAATATCAGCCCGAAAAGTATGGAATCTTTCACATACAACCAAATTAGGCCTGAAAATAAGTATGCCAAATTTTATCGAAATCGGTTCAGATATAGCTATAGCTCCCATATATATTGTTCATCCGATTTGTTATTTTTGTCCTCCGCAGCCGTAATATGCACTCTGTAACAACAATATTTGGGGAAATATATCAAATGCAGCTCAGAAATACCTTTGCTAAATTTTATCGAGATCGGTTCAGATTTGGATATAGCTCCCATATATAACTTCGTCCGATTTACCATTTATTGTGCACCAAACGTCTAATATTTGTTCAAATGGGATGGAATTTGGCACATACGACCGAATTTAGTCTAGAAGGTAGTATGCCAAATTTGGTGAAGATCGGTTCAGATATAGTTATAGCTCCCATATATATTGTTCATCCGATTTATTGTATTTGTTACCCACAGCCGTAATATGCACTCCGTAACAACGATATTCAGGGAAATATATCAAATACAGCTCAGAAATGTCTTTGCCAAATTTTATCGAGATCGGTTCAGATTTGGATATAGTTCCCATATATATTTCTATCCGATTTCAAATTAATTTCGCACCAAATGGGCAATACAAGTCCGAATTTAAAAGATTCAAATGCTTCGGCATATTTAGTCCTTTGAATCTTAAATTATAATTATAATTATAGCGTGTATGATTGAATTCTCCCATAAAAACTTTTAATTATTAAGTGGAGCTCAACTAAATTAGCAAAGTGGTGTAGGGTATCATAAAATCGGCCCCGCCCGACTTTAGGACTTTCTTTACTCTTTTTTTTCAAAAATTAAGTAAATTTTTATAATTTTCTTATAATACACCAATCGGAGGTCGTCATATTATTAATTTTTCAACAATTTTTACAAATTTGAATAAATTTTCAATCTCAAAGTTGGTTGGATATTGTTCATTGTCTCAGCAGTTGTGGTGATGCGCCTATATGTATATTTTATCATGGTTTCATCATTGAGACATATCAAAGAGTGTGAAACCTCCCAGCGCTACTTATATTAACTTATTTAAGTTTACACAACAGGTGGCGCTACTAAGCCATCACAATAGACTAATTGATATATTAAACAAGTAAAAAAACATTAAGTTCGGCCGGGCCAAACTTTTAATACCCTCCACCCTAGGGTAAAAGAACATTAGAAGAAATGTGGCAAAAAACATTAAAATGCCGAATATCGGGAGGTACCGTTATATAGGGGCTACACCAACACGTGCACCTATAATTACAATGTTTCGCCACACGAACTAGGACCCATTATGACCCACAAATACCAACTTTTACACAAATCAGTGAAAAAATGTGGCATAAATCATCAAAATACCGAATATCGGGAGGTACCGTTATATGGGGACTATACCAGAACGTGGACCTATACATGCAATGTTTTGCCACACGCTCAGGGACCCGTTGTGACCTACAAATACCAATTTTCAGATAAATCCGTGAAAAAATGTGGCATAAATCATCAAAATACCGAATATCGGGAGGTACCGTTATATGGGGACTATACCAGAACGTGGACCGATATATCTCATTTTCAATACCAACCATCCTAGAGACAATACACACACTTGTGCCAAATTTCAAAGGTCTACGTCAAATAATGTGGGCTCTATCGTGATTTCAACAGACAGACAGACGGACAGACAGACAGACGGACAGACAGACAGACGGACAGACAGACAGACAGACGGACATCGCTAAATCGTCTTAGAATTTTATGCTGATTATGAATATATATACTTTATGGGGTCTACGACGAATATTTAGAGGTGTTGCAAACGGAATGACAAAGTTAATATACCCTCCTACCCATGGTGGAGGGTATAACAAATCGTTACATTTGAAAGGCACGTGTCGTGAAAAATGAAGAGAAATGAGATTTGGGCAGCTGGAGCCAAAATACTAAATTTGTTTTGAAATCATGTTGTAACAAAAAATATGTAAATATTAATAACATAACCTAAATAATTATTACAAAAGTTGTTTCTCCACAAAAGTTATTTACCTATCATCTATTGAAATAGTTATGATTATTGATACGAATGTTAATTTTTTCATATCACTTATCAAAGAATGTCTTTGTAGTAAAAAAAGTAACGGCAACTACAAAACATATATTCTGGCATTGAGCCTTTTTCTGGATAGATGCATTCTTAGAAAAATAATAAAGCAAAGTGCTACCTAATTCAAAGGCGTCCCTTGAAGTTCTTAATTAAAGGCTCTATCAGACGAAATGTTTTTACACATGCAATGTCAAGATGCATGCATTGTGTGATACCTGAACGACATTTCAGTTGTAAAATGGATGAGTTAAACACAAACGTACTTTTTCGATCACAGCGAGCCTTATTTAAAGCGGACCAAATATATATTAATCAAAAGCCTTGTTTATTTGTTGTGTAAAAATATATAAAAATCAATTTGCGGTTAAAAAATTTGTTAATAAAATTTGCTATAAAATTCAGTATAAAAACATATTCAAGTTTGTGACAGCAAAAAATATGAGTCACATGCCAAATAACAATTTGGATACTGAAGACAATTTATCCAGGTTAAGCTATATAAAACATGAGTCAAAATGTAACTGAATCATTCTTCACTTTTTGATTTGTCACAACTCTTTTACCAACCCAACTAACTTGTCACTTATTTTTATTTAAAAAATCTTAAATAGTCTCACCCGCTTACAAAGATCCCCTTCCCGGTTGGGTTGATAGCTTAAATGGACCCGTTGGTGTTATGACAGCTGGAGCCCGTGGTGTCTTGCGTTCAATGATGTGTGATGCCACCCTGGAAGCTGATATGATACCCGTTGATGTGGCCATTAATAATATTATTGTAATACCCTATGGATTCTCTCAATACAAGGAGAGGTATTTTCTTTAAGACTGTACTTAATTCTTCATTAAATATTTTTTTTTTATTTTGATAGACCCAAAGAGATACCTGTGTACAATTTGGTATTGCCGGACAAATGCCGCAAACAATGGGGCTGGATCCTGCAGAGAGGTGTTGAACTCAATGAAAAATATCCACAGTCATGGCCATTGTGGTATCCGAATGCAACACTCACGCTGAACAAACACTATCACATGTTTAATATGATATTCTTTATGTGGCTGCCGGCGTTGTTAATCGATGGTCTGCTGACAATTATGAGAAAAAGGAGATTGTAAGTAAATATGCGAGTAGAAGAGTAGGCATATGACACAAAGCAAAAACCCTTAAAAAGTGTATAATAGCGCGTTTTGTATTATAAAAGATCATAGGCCGGTTATTACATCTTTCCGATAGATAAAAAATGTATGTTGTGGGACAAATTAATCGTTTTTTTTTGTTTTTACAAGTTTAATTTAAAGATGAACTGTCCGATTATCTTTTAACGAATGTTGGTCTGTGTTAGTTTTGGTCAATTCCCAACGAAGCGCTTGCTTGAGGTGATAGACATTCTGGTATTTTTTTTAGTGCCAACCTTGCTTTCCAAAATACTCCAGACACAATAGTCCAACGGATTGGTATCCGGAGATTTTTGAGACCATTGTGCGCTGGAAGTGAATCGAGGAACCTCATTTTGAAACCATTCTTGGGTGGCGCGTGCTGAGTCTTGTTGGAATGTCCAAGGTCTGCGTCAAAAATGTTTGCGTGCCCAAGGCTTTAATACACCCTCCAGAATATTTTCGCGATAATATTCGGCATTTATTCTGATGTCACGATCGATTAATACGAGCGGAGAGCGACCATCGGCTGTTATGGCGGCCCAAACCTTCACCATGGCCGGCGCCTGAGTTCAGGTGGCCAACCGAAGGTGAACATTTGCAGTTGACCTCTTTGACAAGTGAACACGATCATTTTGCTGGTCATCAGAGAAAACCAAATTCGGCAGTTCACAACTTTCGGCCAAGCGAAGCAACTCCTTAGCTCTTTTGAGTCCATTTTATCTCTGCTGCGGTGTAAGTTCTTGCACTTTTTGGAATTTCAATGGCTTTATCCCGAGCTCATTTTTCAATATTTGCTGAATGAAATATTGCGATATAATGAGCTGTCACTGGAATAATTTTAACAGCTGTCGGACAAGTGGCTTAGAAATGACAGCAGTCTGAAGTTGGTTGTAATTTTTTCATCTCACCTTGTAAATTTAACTTATGGTTTCCACAGTCACATTTTTTGTGATTTATCAATTATCACAGTTAACCCGGATAAAGGTTTGTATGTAAACGTACTTTAACTTATTATTCCCCGAAAGAGTAATTGTGCGATTTTTAATTACATTGTCCCGTTTTCATATTTTTCTTTATAGTACAGTTATGTTGTATTTTAAGGAAATTAAAGTATAAATATCACATTATCGGGTTTTCATTATTACATTTTCCTGTTAAAATAAATGATTTTTTACGGACATATGGCAAGGTTTTCGTAAATGTAACTGGTAGTCACTGCATTTTTTCACAGTGGCATCTTTATTTTAATCTAAAAATTATAAAAAAAAGAATTTTTTAATTAATGTCGTGAAATAAATCTATATTTCAGTGCTTCAATATAAAATAAACGATTTGCGTTATTCATTTTTTATTTAAATAAATTTTGCTTTTATTGCCATATTATCAATATAAAATATTATCAATATAATATCAATATAAAATATGGCAACACACACTTAACTAAAATGTGTAATAACGAAATTATTTATGTGTCCGACAACATCAATTTTTATCTATCAGAAAGATATAGCAACCGATCACATTTTTTTATAACTTCTCCCCAACAACATTTAATTTTAAGTAAAACATTTTTTCCTCCTTCGGCATGGACGCACAACATTTGTCTGTGGCAAAATTACATTATTGTTTATGGAAGTGATTTTACGTCAATGATTGAACTGTTTTATTAAATTATGTTGTTATTGTTCTTATTTTTATAGCATGATTCGAGTACAAAAACGCATTGCTGTCGGATTGGAAGTTTTACAATTTTTCACCACAAGAAAATGGGATTTTCGTAATGAACGTTTGCTACAAATACTGAATAGTCTGTCGCCAAGGGATTTAGAAATGTAAGAAAAAGGGACATAGAATTCAATTCATTGTTTAAATCTATTAATATTTTCCTTTGATATTGTCTCAAAATAGATTTGAAGTACAAGTGGAAAATCGTGAATACGACATTGAGGGATATTTGGTGACATGTTGTCTTGGTGGTCGTCAATACATTAACAAAGAGCCATTGGAATCGTTGCCCAGAGCTAGAATTATTTTCAAGTGGTATGTTGGGGTTTTTTCGTAGCACCATTTTAAATTAATTTTTTCAAATTTCTTTTAGCATGTACGTATTGGATAGAGTCTGCAAAGCATTGATTTGTGGTTGGTTCTTCTATTGGTTGGCATCGAAAGTTGGATTTTTTTAAACAAATGCAAGCTGATGACTCTATGTAAATAAAGGTGGGTTCCAATGTCACGATCTGTGGTTTCGTTTTTATATAACTTTTTCTCTTTTACATTATTTAGATCAATTATTTCAACTCGAACAATCATACGTATAGTCTGATCCTTGTACAATCTAAGACATGAACATAGCTCTGGGAATACAGTTACAAATCCATTTATTTTGTGCAATATGGCTAAATATGGTCACATAGGTTATAACTCATTTAATAATGTAAAGAAACAATACTCTCAATTCAATTTTCTCTTTATAGGATATTAAATCTTATATTTTCATTGCAATCCATGTATATACATTTTATAGAAACCATGTTACATTTAAAAATATTTATTAAAATAAAAATCGCCAGAAGTGAGAGTAAAACAGATCAAAGCTTAAAAAAATGATTTCGGCGTTGCCATTTTTGTCTTACCGTGAAAATGCAACACTGTTGCCAACTAAAAGTGGCAACAGTGTTGTACCATGGCCCAATTATAAGGTCTTCCTTCGAGCGAATTAATCTAAAACAGCTGTTATTTTATCAGATGAAATGTCAAATTTCATGCTAGAGGCGAAAATAAACATTTTCGCCTTGACAGAAGATTTTTGTCGCGAATTTTTAGAAAGAAGATTTTTGTGGCAACAATTTTTAGAAATTTTAAATTTAATTGACAGATAGTTTGGAAATCAGCTGAGCTGGAAGGGGAACTTATACTTGGATCATGTGTTGTACGATTTAAACTTTGATCTGTTTTAGCCCTGACTCGCCAATCGGATGTGTGAAATTAAGAAAAATAAATTGTTATTAAATAATAAGACAACCCCGATTTCAAACTCCCACTTCAATATTATGTATCTTTTGTAACAAACATGAATCTCAAACTAAATATAATTATTTGTATTTTCTTTTTTGTTTTTATTGTTGTTTATAAACATATGTATACATTTTTGTTCTTGATGTTGTTATTGGTGAAGGCCGCAATTTTGTTTGTGCATGTAAATGTTGTAAAAACAAAGAAAATATCAACTGTTATCAAAGTGTAATGTCTTGTTATTGTAAATATTTTCACATAACAGATATATTTTAAGATTATCTTATAGACAAATAAATGTAAGTAAATTAAAAAAAGATACAAAATATAAAATGTTTTATTTCGTAAATACTCGAGGGCTACAATTTATAAAACTTATAAAGGCAAGTTTACACGGCGTGTTAGAGGCATATGTAAATTGGCATTTTATGCCATAATGTTAGCGCTTGGCAGCATAGATATGTTAAAAAATTTTAATATATTTTCAAATACAGGTAGTCGCATCGACACAGCTGCTGGGACAATGAACTGTCAAACCGATTTTGGAATTGAAAATGTTGAATGGAAAATTATTGAAATTTGTAAAAATTGTTGAAAAATTCATATAATGGGTGGGGGGCTCATACCAAAACGTGTACCTGCACAGACAATTTTCTGTCATAGGATGCAGTATCCATGACGAACTTCAAATACCAAATTTGAAACAATTTCGGTGAATAATGTCGCTAAAATCATCGAAATACCGAAAAACGGGAGGTACCGTTATATGGCGGCTATATCAAAACGTGGACCGATAAATCTTATTTTCAATATCAACCATCCTAGACATAATACAAATTGTACTGCCAAATTTTGAATCTCTACGTCAAATAATGTGGGCTGTATCGTGATTTCAACAGATAGACAGACAGACGGACATCGTTACATCGACTTAGAATTTTATACTGATCGTGAATATATATACTTTATGGGGTCTACGACGAATATTTATGGGTGTTACAAACGGAATGACAAAGTTAATATACCCTCCTTTTTAATGTGGAGGATATAATAAGGTGTATCTTCTAAACCTTCATCATGTTGTGCTACTAGTAAAAGTAAATTTCGTACTTCCAAAATATGTGCTCTAGTATAAAACTGATCCTTTTTCAATTTGCAAATTCATTTACTTCTTTAAACTAAACAATTTCTCACTTTCTGTACTCTTCACAACAATTAATATAATATAGAAAAGAAGAAGAAGCAGAATTGATCAGCTGTCATTGTTTCTTCTTCTTGTGGTGAAATGGGGACTGAAGACACATAACCCCAGCCCTTCTATAGGGATGTGACTCAGAATGACCCTTATTGGGACTTTAGCTGGACCTACACAAACATTTTTGCTATGTCATATGCATGGTAGAGGGTTAGGACTTGCGAACATTGAAATTTCAAAAATAAATTGCCAAAAAAATTAATTTCAAATTTTTTGCGAAGCCATTCAGATTTTATTATGATATGTGTTTTAACAAATTTTAATAATTTTTCATTCATTTTCCAAAATCTTTTGACAGTTAATGTTTCATCAGCTGTATCGATGCGGCTACCTATATTATTGTATCCTGGCCATATGTACTAGATACATACAATACATGGAACAGCAAGTCCCAGCTGATGTGACTCTATTGTAATACTAGTGTCAAACTAGATATGACGTTTTGTGATATAATCCCATTTCTTGATATGCAATAGGTATACCCTTTTTTGATATAAAATTTCACTGCAGGGCAATGTGAACATATTTTTTGCCAAATAATAGAAAAAATCGCCGTTGTACTTAACAAAACGCCATAGGCGATAGTTCGGAAATTTTTTTGCGGTTAAGGAACTGCGACACCACCTTACACAATATATTCGTATATTTCATGTTTCCTAAAATTGCAAAATGGGGAATACTTTGTGTATGTATGCTGCTTGGTTTCAACTTGAAAGAGATGTTGTCTCTTCTACGATTTTCTAGCGATTGCTCGGAGTGTTGATAGATTAGGACCAACAGCTAACAACTATACATTCAGGGGAATGATGTGAAAGTAATAAAATTAAATATTTTAAGAACTATTCTTCTGAATTTTCAATTTAATAATCCTAATTCCAAAAATGGATATTTTTGAATTTAAAATAATTTAATGAGAATTAATTACTTTGTTTAAATTTTTGGACATATAACTCTGACACTTGTTTGTATTACGTACAAAAACAAGTTTGTATGTGGTTGTTGTTACGATTGTGGTACAACAACACTTGCTGTTACCTGTATTATTCTACCATGCATACAATATGTCAAAGATAAAACATAGATGGCGTTCTTTAAACTGCCCATCAAGTTCAAGGAAAAGTCCGTTTCAAAACAATCTTTCATTACAATACAATGTAGCACTCTTTAATTTTAATTAAAAAATAAAATTGGATAAAAATAATCTGATGTAAATTACTTACTAAATAATGCTAAATATTTAGACAGACAATAGTGTGTTTGCATACAAAACCTCTGCGCGGATAAACTCCGATAATTGACCAATCACAATACTAATTCTGAGCCCAGTAATGCTTTATGTTAGTATGTACATTCCATATCGGATTTGAAATAAATCCGTATTCTTGTGTGGTGAATATGGTTGAATACATCCGGTTTAAGCAATAAATAATGTCGGTTAATGCGCATAAAATTTTGCATCTAAACGCGCTATAACCCGGATAGAGATTTTGTATGTCAACGAACTTTGAGGCGCCTTAAAATAGGCTCACCAATTTATACATGATATAATAGGAGTGTTCGTATACTCTATAATTTGACCAGTAAGTGAGAGCGAAATGAGAGAGACAAAATTCCCCAGTAAGAATATAATAGGATGATGAGATTTTCGGTTTATTTATGCGTCAAATTCAGCTAAAAAATGTGCATCCGTTGATGATGAAAATGCAGGAATCTTTGTGTTGCAGAGGGAATCTTTGTATTCCGGGTGAGTACACTAAGACAAGTTTTCTTTTATTATTGATAATTTTTTGTAATGAAAATATAAAATGCATAGAAATAAAGTACATCAAAATATTTGCATTAAATTTGCCTTAATGGATCAACTGTCCGTTTATTTTTAAACTGTTTTCGTTAGAGAAAAAATCGATTTTTTCTCGGTAATTTCTTAATGCTAGCTTCTACATTGTGTTATAGTCATGTGTAAAGGGATTTTTTGACATTTAATAATTAATGCTTTTGACACATACTTTTAACCGCGCCCAGCAATTTTTAAACTTAAAGGAATATATATGTATATACTTTATAAAATATATCCTGTACAATGCTACATAGTGTAGACATATTACATTTATGTTGCACTCATACTATAAATATTTTAATGTATACGATACTATAAAGCGTTTTCTTTCAGATAACAAATTGTGTGAAGCGCCTTAAAGTATGGAGTGGAGCTTAACATGTGTCTCTAACATTATATGTAAACGAGCCTCTAGTTAGTAAATGCATGGTAGAAGAATATAGGTAGATGCATCGACGCAGCTGCTGGGACAATGAACTGTCAAACCAAATTTGGAATTAAAAATGTTGAATGAAAAATTATTTAAATTTGTAAAAATTATTGAAAAACGAGTATTATAATATCCTCCGAATGACGTCGTACAAGAAAACATATAAAAATCTACTTATATTTGAAAAGAAATTTAAAGTTTTTCGACATATCAATGCTCCCAAGCGTTGATGCATCTACCTGTATTCTTCTACCATGAGTAAATGTTATTATAAAAGTAAACCAACCAACCTAATTATTACAAGGTAACAGCCATGGTAGAAGAATATCGGTAGATCCAAAATTTTTGCAAATTTATATAATTTTTCATTCAACATTTTAAATTCCAAAATTGGTTTGATGGTACAATGTCCCAGCAGCTGTGTCGATGCGACTACCTGTATTCTTCTACTATGTTTGTATACGTAAATAAGCAACAACCATGGTAGAAGAATATAGGTAGACGCATCGACACAGCTGCTGGGACATTGTACCATCAAACCAATTTTGGAATTTAAAATGTTGAATGAAAAATTATATAAATTTGCAAAAATTGTTGAAAATGCATATTATAACAACTCCCTGTTGGCGTCGTATAAAACAAACAAAATCTACTTATTTTTAATAAAATATTAAAAAAAATTGACATATCAATGTTCTGACGCGTTGATGCATCTGCCTATATTCTTCTACCATGTATACAACACAACCAAAAGAGGATACAAAAAAGTGGCAAATTTGTATCTCAATGAGCTGTTACCATGGTAGAAGAATATAGGTTGTAGCATCGACACAGCTGCCGGTACAATGAACTGTCAAACGAATTTTGGAATTGAAAATGTTGAATGAAAAAATTTTTTAAAAAATACAAGTCATAACAACCGCTAATATACTTTTATATCGGACCACCCTATTAATCTACCACACGCAATGTTTTATCGATTCCAATTTTTATCAGTGTTGGCTAGATGTAAAATAGCAAAACAAAAACCAAAACCTACCAATCAAGTTAGCATTGATATTTTGAAAGTAATTTGCTCGTCTTTTACACAGGGTCCCAAAGCATCAATAAAGCAAAAATTAAAGCGAAAGAAAAGACAATGGCCAATAACTGTTACGCATACCCAAGCTCTATTAATGAAATGCCCAAAAATGTTTGGCAAGATATTCATTCGCATGGCGGGATGCTGAACAGCGAATGGATCGATATGAATGGACTAGTAGTACAGAGATAGAAATTCCATAGCATTTATGACGATGACCTATATTGGGCTGTGGGGCTATGTTTATGGTGTGTAAACTAATTTACAAATACACACACACATATGTATGGTTCGATTTTACATGGAGCTTGGTTCGCCGAAAAAAGAAGAAGAAGAACAATGACCGTGAATATCAGCTATTTTTATTTCATTTTTTCCAAAAATGGTAGTATATCGACTGGTTTTTAAGTGGATTTTGGCGGATTTGCAAGAGAGTCATAGTAGAGAAAGTCATCTTTGGAGCGAAATTTTTTCTCTTGCTAATATTTTTGTTTTAATGGAGCAACCTTTTGACACCCAATA